TCTAATTTTTTTATTTGTCTGTTTTGCACAAAAACCATAATCCCAATTACACTATTCTAATAAAAGTGTACAAAAATATAATTTTACGAGCTTTAAGCCTTGAAAAAAAAAAGACAAAAAAACAATGGCCACGTCTTTCTGATCATTTAATCTGCCCCAATTAGGCTGATAACTCCCTGCAAAGCAGATAGAACCTGTCTGGCAACATGAAGTAGGCTTAGCAAGACAGAGACGAAATACTCCAGGAGCAGACGCCGCTTCATCAAGGAGGAGAACTGCTGCAGACCTCACATGGATCAGGCAAGGTCAGAGTTCAGGATTCATCCCGCGGTCCAAATGGAGCCCAGAGATTCTGACCGAAGACCCAAAAAGACCCGTTGGTCAAAGAAACGTCCTGATGGTTCTGAGGGAACCCAGGAGGGAGAAGCTGAGCTCCTGATCCACCACCGACACAGGAGGAGACATAGTGGGGGTGTGGTGATGCTTTGGGTCAATCCTTACTCCCAGCTCTGATGATCATTGCATTAAACCATGTTTTCCTGCCCACCATCGTTTAACCCGAAAGTAGACTAAGCTCCTGGTGTGAGAACCGTTGGATGGCATCTTAGTCTGGACTAAAATCGGACTGACCCAGAAAACCATCTAATGTTAAGAGACACCGATTGGAGAGAAGATCAGACGGCTGTAAGGTGACAACATCAGTTTATTGAAATGAACTGAAACTGGGCCCTCTCAGCCACCATACCAGCTCCTTCAAAGGAACAGGAAAAGTCATTAAACAGATTCAAACTTTCTGCAAATGATCAATGAATAAATGTTTTAGGGAACCTTCAGAAACATCTGGACAGGATGCAGCTGAAACATCTGGACGTCTGAAATGAGAAGGACCTCAGCAGGGACAGCCGCCCCCATCCTCAGGGACCATCCTGCAGCATGACCAGGCCCCTGAGGCTAGGAGCTAAAAGCTTGGAAGCTAATAGCTAGGAAGCTAGGAGCTAAAAGCTTGGAAGCTAATAGCTGGGAAGCTAGGAGCTAAAAGCTTGGAAGCTAATAGCTAGGAAGCTAGGAGCTAAAAGCTTGGAAGCTAATAGCTGGGAAGCTAGGAGCTAAAAGTTTGGAAGCTAATAGCTATGAAGCTAGGAGCTAAAAGCTTGGAAGCTAATAGCTGGGAAGCTAGGAGCTAAAAGCTTGGAAGCTAATAGCTATGAAGCTAGGAGCTAGAAGCTTGGAAGCTAATAGCTGGGAAGCTAGGAGCTAAAAGTTTGGAAGCTAATAGCTAGTAAGTTACGAGCTAACAG